TGCGTGTGGAAACAGTTTGAGACACAAACGTGGATTTCACCCACAACTGGGTGGTTTAAACGGTTCGTGACCAGACAGAATACAGAATTTCATACGCAGGATGGCTTGCCAGGCCAGTGGCCTGGATGTCTTGTGAACATTGTTGGCCGTTATCCTTCGCAGGTCCTGCAGCGACCGTGTGAAAAATGCCATAGCAAACACCGCGTTGACCCAGAAATGAATCTGCTGGATAGAAAGTCAAGAAGCGTCAAAGCAGGGATGCATGGCATGAACCCGGTGAACATTTAGAGTCAACCCTCATCGAGATCCCAACAGAAGATAATTAGCTTTAGCAACACGTCTTCAACTCGGTCGGTCTGAACTAAAATGTTATGAGGTAGTAGCTGAGAGTCGTGAGCTTCACACACATAGAAGTCAACATAAATGCACAACACACACGATTCCATTGTGTGTGTGTGGTACATCCACTCATTGGTCCTGGGTGGTGGTTTGTCAGCGACTCCTCGCTTCCACAGTTGCTCTTATCAACTTTCAGAATCAAGAGATCTGGAAAGGAAAGGTAAGAAGAGTGGATTCCTGTCTGGAAGCAAAACCACAGCCGGCAGGTTACTTTATACGAGACACGAACCTTGAAAGATCATCCAGAAGGCTCTTTGCTGATGTGTGTGTGCAGAAGGCACACTAACCGTAACAAAGGACAAGGAAGACATAAGAAGATACATCTGATGAGTTAAGGATAGATTTGTAAATGGTTTGATGCAGATGAAAACTTTTCTTTCTCATGAAACGCCCTCCGCCTCTTTCCTGGCTTTTCCAGAATTGTTTTCGCATCTTTTCTGTCATTTGTTGTGTTCGTTCTCAGATTTTCTCCTTCGTCTTCCTCTTGGGGCTGAATTGTCTTGTGACCGGTGATCAGCTTCTCCAGATGTGACTCGTGTGACTCCAACACCAGCCCGTGCCCACTGGGCTTTCCTTCTGGTTTAGTAAACTGTATATCCTACTTTCTGGTTCGTCTCAGACACAAATGTTGGTCAAACAGGCCTTTTCTCAGTTTCTCAGCTCACCAAGAGAAGCCTGATTCTGGACAAAGAAGTGTGTGTTTGAGCCTGCTAGCCCAGCCGCACACACGAGAGACACTGATGGGAGGAAAGGTCACGACCAGAGGCTTTCATAGACACAAACAGAAGCATGAAGGCATGAATTTGTTTAGCCATATCAGATGGAAGATAAAGAAGCTAATCCAGAGCTTTTGCTACCATTTTATTCATTTCAGAAAGAGCAGAAAGTCGCTTGCGAGTGAATAAGTTTTTAAAAAGCAGCACTTGTTAGAAATGCTCTCCATCTTTCTCTCAACCCGTCCTCCTGCGTCACCCTTCACCCCGGCCCAATCCCGGGCTGTCAATGCCCTAATGACATAAACAGAGTAGTAATCACATTAACGACAGTTACGGCTGAGGCACTCTTAAGAGCCGCTGTTCTGACAACCCTCCATCTTCCCAAAGCACTCACTCCAACACCTATAAACACTTATGAATATTGGCAAAGACCCTCTATTAGCATAATCACTTTTCAGGTGTTTGCGAGTGCTCTCCCAAGCCATCGTGGCTGATAACTTTGGGAAATGGCCGTGACACACGCCGGCCCCCGTGTGCTCTGCTTCTGTGACTTCCTCCTCCTTCTCCTTCTCCTTCTGGAAGACCTGCGTGCTAATCCCGTTAGCTAGTTCCTCCATTAGCTTAATGACCAATATCGGTGAAAGCTACATGGTCACACCAGGACGGTTTGGGCTCACTGTCAGAGTTCGCCAAGGACACAGCAGGCAAACAAACAGAGAAATGGAGGTCAAGTCTGCAGACTTTTAAGGAGTCAAAAAGTTTGGTGTACATTTAGTTAGCTCCGTCGGCGCTGCATGTTTTAGTGTTTGTGTCTGTGTTTGGGTGGCTGGATGAAGACAAATAAACGTGGGTATTTATTAACAACATAAACACGAGCAGGACCAGATGTTCGTGGGGTGTGAGGTTATTGTATCTGCTGTTAAAGTGCCTTCATTTCCCTCCTTCCTTCCCTTGTGTCTTTGACCTAGTGCTTTTCTCCATGAGCCCTAGATCATATTCTTTGCCGGATAGCAAAGCCATTACCGACACCGTACTCACCCACCCTCTGCTTTGTGTTGCAACACACCGAAGTGACTCGGAAAATACTTCATAAACCCCCTTTTCTTTATATTCCTCCTTTTCTAATTACTGTTCTTGTGCTCCTTTTCCATGTGCTCGCTTTCAGTTCTCCTGCGCACTTTTGTCCTCGCTCCTCTAAAGTCCCCTCTTTCAGCCCCTGCCATGAAATGGCTGCTGAGGGCTTGTCAGTGTGGTTTCTCCTCTCTGCTGATCCTATTTCAAAGGGACCTGGAGATCCAGCATTAGCCTCAGCTCTGCTGCTCTGCAGCCCTAACTCTCCCCAGACTTCAGGTTACTAAAAGGAGAGAAACAGACTCGGAGAACGAGAGCTCTCTTTTTATTCCATTAGAGGACAGATTTGTCTGTAGATCGCCCTTCCTCCCCACAGCTCTGTGCTAAGAACAAAAAATAACATCAAACGCCTCGTCAAAATGTCTTTCGTGCTCTTGAGAAGCTTTGCTTCCATTCCGACGAGGAAAGCTATTGAGAACAACAGTGGGCTTGTTTAGGTATCTTCTGCTAGGTAGCCATTGTTGTTAGTCTTGGCATGTGTCGTTCTGACTTTCTGATGCTTCTTATTGTCTACGCTGCCTGGATGCAAGTAAGAGCTATTGTCATTTCTGGTGGCGTGTGCACAGTTTGTCACACGTTCATCGATGGACGAGTTATTGTGCGGCTCAAGCTATGATGCTTCTGACACATAAAACAATGAATCCACAACCGCCTTTACAACGTTGTGTTGAGGCTCTCGTGTCCTTCAGAAATGTTGTCATTAGAAGATGTCCCCTTCACGCCACGCTTCTCTCCCTCCTTCCATCCTTCCTGTCCCCCTGCCGCCTTCCCTCACTTTCAGGATTCCTCGGTGATTTCTTCCCTCTGACAGCCGCAACACTCTAGCCAACCCCCTTATCTTTTGCTCTTGTCCTCCACAATAACAGGAACAACTATCTGTTTCCTCCCCCTGCATATACAGTGTGTGGTGTGTGTGTGTGTGTGTGTGTGTGTGTGTCCCCACACATTAGGGTAGTGTGGAGGAAGTGTGTATGGGCGGCAAATCAAAGAAAAGTGTACAGGAAAGCTCGAGTTATTTGCAACCGTTTTACGAGTTATATGTGGCTCTCCGCTTAAAGCCGTAAAGGCACACACATAATCAGGAACCGTACATCGAGCCAAAGCGAATGAAACAGGCATCTTTTATTTGTGCTTATGAGAGAGATAGAGAGAGAGAGAGAGAGAGAGAGAGAGAGAGAGAGAGAGAGAGAGAGAGAGAGAGAGAGAGAGAGAGAGAGAGAGAGAGAGAGAGAGAGAGAGAGAGAGAGAGAGAGAGAGAGAGAGAGAGAGAGAGAGAGAGAGAGACTGAGAGAGAGAGAGGGAGAGAGGGAGAGAGGGAGAGAGGGAGAGGGAGAGAGAGAGAGGGAGAGAGAGAGAGGGAGAGAGAGAGAGGGAGAGAGAGAGAATGGGCAAATGGCTTTTTTATGATGGAAAAATTCCACAGTGGGTCAAAGCCCATTGCAGGTGGCAGCAATTAACTGTAATTTTTGCAGATTGTAATGATCCATAATTTAGCATTATACCCCCTTCCAACTCGTTTCAGTCAAGAGAAAAAGGTTTGCGTGAAGGTTTGATTAGCTGCACATTTTACGCCGCGTTCTGCTCTTTAAGCGAGAGTCTTCAGATGGGGGGGGGGGGTGGGGGGGGGGGTCACGGTGGCCGTGGATGCACGAGACAGGAAGCAAAAACCAGAGAACATCAAACTCTTTTCATTTCTGCGTTTCGTCCACAACACCCTTCCTTATTATCAGCAGCGGTCCTCTTTCTCTGCCCCTTTTGTCTCTCAGCCACAGCAGGCTTAAAACACGCAAGACTGTCCATTCTCCATCTTAGGGTTCTCTCATATTCCCAATCAGGCACGCTTTCCCCCTCTTCCCCTTCTGCCGGTCCCTTGTTCTTCCCCAGCACAGTATGGCCATGGCTTTTGGGTTCGGTGTCTGCAAATGACTTTAGAAGAATGTCCTTCACTGGAAAGAAGAAAGGAAAAGAAACGCCAAAGATGAAAGAGGGAGCACATTTGCAAGTGGCGGATGTGTCTTATTTTGCATAGCTCTCGCTTCTGCTTTCTTCTTCTCTTTTTCTATTCACCTGAGCGGATTTAAATAAATCCATGAAGCGTGAAATATCAGAAATAGAAAAGTAATGCATGAAATGCATTTTCAAAAGAGTCTCCCCTCCCACACACAAACAGGCGTAGACAGTTCCTCCACGTGTTTCGTTTTCCCGTGGACGGGTGCTTTTTCTGATAAAAACCGCTACAGTTTATTAGCGTGCGACCTCTTGTTGGCGTTCTGTGTTAATAAGCAGCGTCCCATACATGTCCTACTTTAGCTTTGCTAATTCTGCAAACAAGGTATTGGAGGGGAGATGAGTGTGTTTAACCAGATTAGGCGTGCATTGTCAGGCAAATCTCAGGTCAGCCCACAAGTGCAATTGAAAGTCAATTACTGTCTGAGTGATTTCCACGTTGTTGCTGTCGTCTGTTTAATCCAGAGTTTAACAACAAAATCACACTTGTTCGTTGTAAATATTGGTTTGTGTGACAACACCACTGAAAATGTGCGTTTACACCGAATTCCACTTTAGTCATTCGTTATGGAAATCAAATATGATGAATTTAGAAAAAAAGGTGGAAATGAATGATTTTGATGCTGTTGTGTGATTTTTCAAATCTTTTCATGAACAAATCTGCAACCATGTTGGAATGTGACACACCTGCTTTGTCTTGCATTGGTTTAAATTTAGGTTTTCTCTGTGTGTCTCCTTTTGTGACAGATAAAGATGAGCCCAGCAGCTACACCTGCACAACGTGCAAACAGCCCTTCACCAGTGCCTGGTTCCTGCTTCAGCACGCCCAGAACACCCACGGTTTCCGCATCTATCTGGAGAGTGAACCTGGCAGCCCCCTCACCCCTCGTGTGGCTGCGGCTCCTGGGATGGGGGGCGATTGCGCCTCCTCCCAGCCTCCCCTCCACGCTGTGCACTTGGCCGACGGCAGCCCTTACAGCCTTCTGAAGATGCCGGGTTCTGGGTCTGTTCGGGATTCGGCGTCTACACCTCGCGAGGGTCGATATCCCAGGACACCCCCGCTGTTCAGCCCACCACCACGTCACCACCTTAGCCCCGATGACCTTGCCTTGGCAACCCACCATCCTAGCGCCTTTGACAGGGTGATGAGGCTGAACTCGGTGCCATTAGAATCCCCTCAGAGCATGGACTTCTCTAGACGCCTACGGGAGCTAGCCGGCAATGCCACTGGAGGTTCTCCGCCTCTGTCCCCTAACAGACCCAACCCTATGCAACGGCTGCTGCAGCCATTTCAGCCAGGTTCCAAACCTCCATTTACAGCCACACCTCCCATGTCCACCTCCCAGTCCCCTTCTGGATCCCGCTCTACCCCTAATCCTGTATCCAATGCAGTCCAACCAGGCACCCCCGTCAAGTCAAAGTCTTGCGAGTTCTGCGGGAAGACCTTCAAGTTCCAGAGCAACCTTATCGTGCACCGGCGAAGCCACACAGGGGAAAAGCCTTTCAAGTGTCACCTCTGTAATCATGCCTGCACACAGGCCAGCAAACTAAAGCGCCACATGAAGACGCACTATCAAAACAAGTCTTCGGCGCTAAATGCCAAGTCAGACGACGGCCTCTCCACCGCCAGTTCTCCTGAACCTGGCACCAGTGAGGTGGTGGGCAGTGCCGCGGATGCCCTCAAGTCAGTGGTGGCCAAGTTCAAGAGCGAGAACAATGGTCTCATGACTGGAAATGAAGAGGAGGAAGATGAGAATGAGGAAGAAGAAGAGGAGGAGGAAGATGAAGATGAGGAGGAAGAAGAAGAGGAAGGGGAGGAAGAGGAAATGGATAGTAAGCCTGATGTAGAAGAAGATGGGAGGAATGACTACCGTTTCAGCCTGCGGTTAGAGGGGGCCCGTCACCACCAGAACACTGAAGCTCTACACCCACATCGCCGAAGCTCGTCCCGGGAGCCCGTTGATGACGACTCAGCCGTGGAGTTGGATCGTGGAGACGATGGCTCCACCACCACCCTCAACGGCCTGGGACCGTTAAATAATGACAAGCTCTCCAGGAAGCTTTTGGGTGGTGGGATGAGTCCTGACTCCATCAGCTCACTGTCAAAGCGCATCAAGGTGGAAAAGGACCTTGACCCCCCAACGCCCACCATCCCAAACACAGAGAACGTCTATTCTCAGTGGCTAGCTGGCTACGCGGCTTCTCGGCAACTCAAGGATCCCTTCATCAGCTTCACAGGTGGGGACTCTAGACAATCACCCTTTACATCCTCATCCGAGCACTCAGAAAACGGCAGCTTGCGCTTCTCCACTCCGCCTGGTGAGCTGGACGGTGAGCGAGCCGCCTCAGGACGCAGCGGCACCGGCAGCGGGGCCAGCACTCCCCACGGCGGCAGTGGGAATGGCAGGCCGAGCTCCAAGGACGGCCGCCGCAGCGACACCTGTGAATTTTGTGGCAAGGTGTTTAAAAACTGCAGCAACTTGACAGTGCACCGCCGCAGCCACACTGGAGAGCGGCCGTACAAATGCGAGCTGTGCAGCTACGCGTGCGCCCAGAGCTCAAAACTCACCCGCCACATGAAGACCCACGGACAGATGGGCAAGGACGTGTATAAATGTGAAATTTGCCACATGCCTTTCAGTGTGTACAGCACTCTTGAGAAACACATGAAGAAATGGCACAGTGACCGCCCTCTGGCTAATGACATTAAAACTGAATAGACAAAGAGCAGTTCTCCTTCAGCTCCCCCGGCTAGAAAGCAACCCTGCCTAACTAGCCAACAAGCATGTGGGGGAGAGACCACAGGGTCAGACACCAGAACACAGTGCAGCCCTGCTTTCTTCCTCTTCTGGAGAAAGCTAGATGCATGATCCACGATCGGGGCAATACTGATGCATCACAACTTTTTGAGCCTTTCTATTGTGCAATAATTTACACATTTTTGTATTTTTTGTAACTGGACAGCATGCTTGGTGTGTTTTGGCTACTTAGAGAGAGCAGCTTGTCCGTGGCTGGTGTGGGTTTGGTTGTACATGTGTTGCTGTTGATACTTTAGGTTTTTTTGACATAAACAAAAAAAAAAAGATTAGTCTAACCCAAGCTGCGTACGGTACACACAGTTTTACATATCATGTGCAGTTTTGTGTTCAAACATAGCAGACGGTGTCATATTTTCAAAACATCAAGACAAGCAGGGTTAAACATAAATCCGATCCGGGGTTTTCCCCCAGAAATTGAGTTAAGCCTGGCGGAGGGGGTGGGGGGTCGCGCGCTCTGTCCCGCAGCGCTCCTCCGTGAGGGTGGGGGTGGGTGCACACGTTCCGCTGCTGTTTCTCACCAGTATCAGCTGATGGAGGGCTCTAGTTTCGTTGCGCCGTTCGTGTCAGCGGACACAGTAGGGTCGGGGGAGGGGTGGGGTGGGGCATGAGGCTTAGCCTGGCGGGTGGCCAAGCAAAGCCTGGCGGGCCGCCAGGCTTATAAAGTGCTGGGGGGAACCCTGCGATCTTTGTGAAAGAATTACAATGCAACACGGAGAAGAGATTTATCTATCTAAATGTACATAGAAAATCGGCTGCCTATTGAATTTTAGGTACTGGCGCCATTACGTGTTTCTTTTACGAACATCAATGAAATTAATAATGTGGTTTGAAATGACAACAAAGAGTGCCTTGGATACTTTACTTGCATTAGTTAATCCTCCTTTTTGCTATAAGCTTGGAGTTTCAGCTCTAAAGGGTTACAGGACATTGTTGTGCACATGTAGAAGAGGCAGGTCCTTGCATCAAGCACCTGCTCGACCCTGTTGTTCCTCAGCTCGGTAGGACACAGGGAACCAGCTGAAACCAACCCAAACAGAAAAAGGATTTGGTGGATCTCTGGTAAATCATTTATCTGCCTGACTCGTGTGTATTGATGTTTTCATTCTTACAGTTTTGTTTACTGGCATGCTACATGCTTTAAAAAAGGGGTTCGGACTTTGGCGTGGAGGTTTGAGTTTTTTGGTAGAAAGGGTACTCCAGTAACCAACAAAAAGCTCCTAATTTTCCAGAGTGTTTATTTTCTTTGAAAATTAAAAGCGCAAAAGTGATTTTGCAACAGCACAGAAACCTTTTTTCTTTTCTTCTGCGCTAGCCAGGCAGGCAGCAGGTCGCCGTGTTTCCGCTGTAGGAGTTCTGGGTCCTCTCAGCCGCCGCGTCTCCGTGCTAAATCAGCCTTTCAGGGCTTTGCTAAGACGTCAGTGTGTCGCTTCTGCAGTGAGTGGTGTCACTGATCAATGAAAAAGTGATCCCATGAACACAAATAACATAGAAAAGTTTTATTTTTCTAAGCACGCCATCGTTCAGTCTGCTGAGGATGACGAGAGCGGTTTTCTGTGGTAAAAAGTGACGTTCAGGGACCGTACGTTGTACTGAACAAGACCACAAAGTGGCGTAAATTACAACGTTGGGAGGGGGGGGGGGGGGGGGGTTCCGCCACAACTCGTGGGAGTTTGAAAACTGATTTTAAAGCAGCGTCAACACTGCTTATTCTCTTTTCCCTCAATTCTGCATTTTCAGCAACTTTCTCAATTTCACAGCTGAAGTGACCCAGAAGCTCCGATAGTGGAAGCGGGCGTATTCCAGCAGTTGGGTGTTGAGTGGGTTCAGCAGGTGTCTCTGAAATTACTTAAAGTGATAACTTTTTTTTTTGGGGGGGGGGGGGGGGGGGGGGGGGGGTAGTAAAAACCTACTTTGAGTGAAATTGGAAATGATTCCAAATGAAATAGAGAAAGGCATCACATTATCCGTTTCAGACCGGATTACGATCTCTTTATTTAACTTGCTCTAAGCCTTTTTATGTTGTTCTGAAATCTCCATCCCCGTCGTCGATGTCGATGACGTAGCACTTGTCACTCTGCCTTGGATCCTGTATCTGTCTCTCTAATCGGAGGTACAGTTGGTTGAGTATAAAATGATGACCAGATTTCAGATCTGGCGCTACCTACATGCACTGTTCAATTTTCCCAGTTTACAGTTGGGCGCTCAAGGGAAAACTTGCTCTTATGCTGACAGATAAGCTCGGTGTCATTGCTTTGCATTAAAAATTAAAAATGACAAGAAAAAAAGTGTTGATCTAGAAACTTTTTGCCAGCCACGTTTCCTCCCGAGCGAGCTGTCCGTGCAGGAATCGCCATAGAAACATCCCGTTTCACACGTTCGTACGGATCTACAGCTCCTTATGGAATAATAAGAGTTCTACAGATTTGATTTTATAAAATAAACGAAATGTGTTTTTAAAGGAACACTTCACTATCTTTAGGGGAGAACCTTATTTAATTTTTATGGTTTTGCTGTTTCTCTTCTTTGATGTGGTGACTTCCAGGACTTGATCACTAGAAATGTTATGAACTGTAAAGAACTCGTCTCTCATCTTTTTTTGCCTTTGCTAAACAAAAGTCTTCAGGTTGAACAGAAATTTGCATTGAGGAGAGATTTATGATATATAACTATAGAAAGAGAGAGAGAGAGAGAGCTTAAACACATAGGAAAAGGTACTCTTGTAAGTTTCCTATGTTCCAAACACACCTACGTCTCCTTTTTCCTGTATTTAGAACGGTATTTGAAAGTAATGTTCACATAGTGTAGGCACTTATAGTATTTATGTTGGAGCCTGTATTTTTAACTGTTTTGCCTGTACTCTTTAAAGGTTTCAATGTACTCTTTTGGTTGTTTTTTTTCTCAGTAGTGAAAAAATCCCAACATGCTGCCACCGTATATTTTCTTAATTTGGCAGGATAATATAGTGTGAATAATTAGTATGCTTGCATTTTTTTAAATAAGACGCTGTGGCGTTCCCCAAGGGTGAGAGGTCATGTGATGGCCTCTTCAGGCAGGCCCGCTGGAGCGACCACGCCGAGGTAAAACAGGTGGTTGTACAGATCTTCTTTTTTAGTTGGTTTATATATTTTTCTCTCCTGCCGTTTTATATGCAGTAATTCAAGCTATTGTTGGGTTTTCTTGGTAGCCAACTTTTTACTGTTGTTGACCACGTGTACCACCTGACGACATTCCAGCTGTTTTTGAAAAGAACAACAAAAAGACATTTTGTCATATGCAATCAGTCCAGCATCAACATGGTTTAGTTTTGTTTTCTTCACTGACTAAATGGTGCTTTATCATTTGAATATGGTACAGCTCGTATGCAAGGCACGTTGTACTCAGAGCAGAGATCCTGATAGACACGTTTGGTACATTTTCATACCGAAGGTATGGAGGTACGTTTAGGTTTCCAGCCTACTTTCATCCTGTGTTCGGTGTTTACTTTCAAACTGTTTGCTCTGAACTGAACTTGAAGTAGGCCTTTTGTCTGCAGGTCGACATTATTTATTATGACCACACACACACACACACACACACACACCAGTTTGGCTCTCTCCCTCCTGATGAATTGTGATGTTTTATTTCTCACGCTGATGACCGAAGGTCGCCGACCAACGTTTATGAGTTCTTGCTTGACTTGCAGGTTTGTTGTTATGTTTCAGTTATGGAAATGCCACTCTACTGTCAGCTGTTCTTTGCATTATTCTCTTCACTCGGCCATTTTGTCTTGAAAAAATTAAAAGTATTACATACACAGCTGAACTTGGCGTCTCTTCTTTGTTTTGCTGAATACACAAAAATAAAATTGGCCCTCTAGTAATGAAAAGGTAAAAAAAGAACACAAAGCTCACTGAAACTGAAATGGAAACTAAATCATGACTGAAAACTCGTAAAACTAAAAGGTATTTTTTGTGAAACAACAGTCCAATGATCTCCACAACACTCAGGTAGATGTCTCACCTGACCTCAGGTGTTCGTGAGCAAACTGCTGCACCTGTCTCAGGTGTGAAGGGTTCGTGCTCCAGATGTTTCAGCTCATTCCACAGGTGGATGTTCTGTCCCTGAGCAGCACCTTTTAGCCTAGTGAAATAGACCAAATTCTTGCTTTGCAAAGTTTGGTCTAGGCATGCTCCATTGGAACCTCAGCAGCTCCTACCAGGACTCTGGCTAGCCAATCACAGCTCTCTAGAGGGGTTTCAAACACATAAAGAGCTGTGATTGGTCCATAATGGTGGGCCAATCATAGTGCTCTATCTGCTTAGTGAACAAATCACAGAGCTTTATCCGCTTTGTGGGCCAATCAGGGCACTCTATATGCCTGGTGGGTGGGATGATGCAACAGAGTGAAACAAGAGTATGTCACATTCATTGTCCAGTGGAATGCGGAGATAATTTGAAAGACAACGGTAGAACCCGCCCCACAACCGAGAGCCATCAATGGAGCATGGCCAGACTAAATAATACATTTATTTAGTCTGGCTTGCCAGGCTACAGCACCTTTAGCTCCGGAACACTTTTAGCTCATGTTACCGTTTTGCCGTGGAACGAGAAGGATCGGGTCGCTACTTTTTCTGTTCGGATTGTAAAACCGGTCCTGACAACCTACCCGGACCGCACCAGCCCCTTCCAGAAATGTTTGCAGCAGTACGGTTAGGGTGGAGCAACAACACAGCCCGCTGATTGGTTGGCAGAAATATGTCGCTACATGCAACAAGCTAAACAAACGGAGTTCTGCTGTTTGTATTTTCATTAGTTTTACATGAATGTGAGGCCACACTCAGGAGGAGCTACACAGTTCGACAACCGAACTGACAACCGAAGGATCCGAGCGGTTGTCGGAGCAGTGTCGGGCCGAGATGAAGAAATTAAAGCCCACCATAGAAAAGTTAAGGACAGACACAGCCGGAGAGGATTTTATTTCACAGACTGGAAATGGGAGAAATACATGGAGGTGCTGCAACACACTGGATGCTATTTATAGTCCCAGAGCGGCAAACCGAGGCAGGCCTAGAAGAAGAAAATATCAGTTCTATAGCGCCTCTCAAGATAAAAATCACGAGGCGTTTCATAAAAACAAAAAATGTAAAAATATATAAATAATTTAGAAAATGTTTAAAAATATATTTAAAATGAGCAAAAATAGGCAATTGTGATTAAAAATGTTAAGAAAGAGAGAGCGTGAACTGGAAAGAGGGAAATCAGTGGATCCTGAGGAAGGTGGAATAGGTGGGGAGAGCAGAATAAAGAGAGTGGTGAAGAAGGTCATACAAAAGCCAGCTTGAACAAGTGAGTCTTCAGCTGCTTTTTAAAGGAGACCTCTGAGTCCACTGATCTCAGGGGGAGAGAGGTCCAGAGTCTGGGGACCACAGCAGTAGATGATCTGTCACCTTTGACCTTTAGCCTGGTGCTGCACAACCAGTAGGCTTTGGTCACTGGACCTCAGGGACCTGCTGGGGGTGTAGAGACTAAGAAGATCACCAATGTAAGATGGTGCTTGTCCATGTAAGGCCCTGTAGACCAGAACCAGGATCTTGAAATGAACCCTGAAGTTGACTGGCAGCCAGTGAAGCTGTAGGAGAAGCGGGGTGATGTGGGTGTGTTTGGAGGACTTGGTCAGAAGCCGAGCACAGGCATTCTGAACCACCTGTAGACGGTTCAGGGAGGTTCTGCTCAGACACGTGGAAAGAGAGTTACAGTAGTCTAAGCATGAGGAGATGAAGGTGTGGAGAACAGTCTCAAGTTCAGAGCGGGACAGAATGGGACTTAGCTTAGCAATGTTCCTGAGATGGAAGAAGGAAGAGCCAACAAGAGAACTGACATGAGAATCCAGGGTGAGAGCTGGGTCAAAGGTCATGCCAAGATTCCTGATGGAAGATTTGGTGTGAGAAGCAAGCAGACCAAGAGAGTCTCTGACTTTGGCAGCCAGCTTGTCTGGGGCACAGATGAGGATCTCAGTCTTATCTTCATTCAGCTGAAGAAAACTCCCACCATCCAGGTTTTGATAGAGTCTAAGCAGGTGTGTAACAGCTGCAGCTTACACATCTCATGGGGCTTAAAGGAGACGTACAGTTGGATGTCATCAGCATAAAGATGGTAGGAGATTCCTTTGAAGGAGCTCAGGATGTGCTGAAGAGGAAGCAGATAGAGGAGGAAGAGCAGAGGCCCCAGCACAGAACCTTGTGGGACACCATGGGTAAGGGAGTTGGTGGAGGACCTAAACTTGGAGACGGCCACAGAAAAGGAGCGCTCAGAAAGATGAGAGGAGAACCACTCCAGAGCAGATCCTGATAGGCCTAACCAGTCTCTCAGCCTTTCCAGTAGCAGGTGATGGTCAACAGTGTCAAAGGCTGCAGTCAGGTCCAGCAGGTCCAGAACAGAACAGTCCCCTGCATCACCGTGAGTCAGAAGGTCATTAGAGACCCTAAGATAGTCGCACAACTTAGTTAGAAAATCACTCATGATGGTTCGTTTAACCCCGTCTACCGACATGAGAGCCAACACTGTGATAGAATGGCTCTCCTGAAATCGCAGACCCATACCGGAACACGCCAGTCCACAATAACTAGCTCAGTGCCGAACCTTGCAGATGGACCTTTAGATGGTCTAGGGATTTTATAGCCTGGCCTGCCAGACTCGTCCAATTTAATTCTGCAGAGAGAGTCTGGTAACTCACACGCAGAGAGGCACATGAGGGGCGGGACTTGGCAGCTCAAAAATAACCAATCAGAAAACAGACAGAAATGCTGACCGTACCGCGCGACGCTGTCGTTGTTTAGCAGTAGTAAAAAAGGCGTCTGGCGATGACGCAAACGTCTTTTATTCTTTTAGAAGAAA